TTTCAACAAAATTTATCAAGTTAATGTTATGATTAAGAAATATAAAATGAACAAACTATTTTCCCCCTTACAAAAAATTTCCTAACCACCAATATTTGATAATTCTACAATACTTAGAGTATGAAGTTCGTTCATCTTTTACTTTTGATCAATTTCTTCTTTGATACTTATAATCATGGTTACAATTTTAATCAATCTTATTTACTATGTACTACTTAAACAAAATACTAATGAGATAATTAATAATCACGTATACTTGACAATTAGGTAAAGTCCTTCAAAAACAAGATAAATATACCTGGAAGATCCCATGGCTCGCATTTATTAAGATCAACATCTGCTACAGCTCGGCATGAAAACGTCGCGTCTGAGATCTTGCTCACAAGGTAATAAGTTATGAGCTCTTCATCAGTAGGATGAAACCGAAATCCCGGTGGAAGATTTTCATCCTTTGGTTGTTGTTGATCTCCTCCTTCCATGACGATAATAACTAACCTTAATTAATTTCCTAGCAAGCTAATTAATTAGCTTTCGCGTCTTTTTGCTAGTTATAAGTACAACTTTTAATTCCTCCAAGTACTAATCACCTTGTACACTGCAAACAAATTATAGTTAGGAACATATAAACAAGTAACCTAAGCTAAATTATGCTACTAATCAAAAGAGTCAAAAAGGTAGATGATGAAATCTCTACATCTTATTTATAGACAAATTCCTTAACCTATATTTTAGGCTATAGTATATTTGATATACAATAATATAAGAAAACATTAGAAAATAATTAATATTGTTCGTTGCAAGCTAAGTTAACTTGTAAATTACTTGTACCTCCTAGAGAAATTTGAAGGAATTTATTTTCCTAATCGAAAAATCGAGCATCTGACAGAAGTAAGCTTTAGGGAGCTTGGTGGTTGTATTAATATGATGAATTGAAGGAAAATCAGTTTCACAATCAAAGTCTTAAGATTTTAAGAAATGGGTGAGAAAATTTAAGAGAGAAAGAAATAAGGGTTTACTATAGAACAACTTATAGTTATTAAATAAATGATGGTACGTTCATATTTATATACATAATAAGATGTATGAAATTTAAGCTAAAGTTTCTAGGGTTTATTTGTGTGACATGTATTCATGTGTGTATTTGAAGTCTCACCAACTATGGACCTTGAGATACAAGGTGCTTGCATGAAATTAATATAATTATAATATATAGTATGGAAGGTCATTGAAGTAACACCTTATTTTAGGGTGGTGTAAGATTACTTCTTTGTTTTGTTGCTCCATGTTATTGTAACTGTCTATATCATTCTGCTGGCCTTAATATACCTATTGGATTTAATTGTCGTTTTGTTATTGGGTATTAAAGGATTGTTTATTGGTTTCGAGAAATTCTTATTTACTTCATCGTGTACTCCTTTCTGCCAGAAATAATTTGAGTTAGATATTTATTTTCAACTAGGAAGAGATTGAATTTTTTTATTTTTTATTTTTTTTATTTGAAGGGTAAAGATGGTAAATATACATAGAGGTAGATGATAAAATTGCATGTATTTAAGCCAAAAAAATATAACTAAAAATTAATCTATTTCCAAGTAGCAACGGGAAGTATTATTGGTAGAATGAGAGTTTACTCAAGAGTCAAGACTTCCACTAATGGACCTAAATTCAGTCCATTTCACGTAGATTTATGACCACTTTTTTCATATGCATAACATGATCAATTAAATTAGCACACTAAAAAAAAAAAAAAAAAACTCATGTAGTGCAAGGATTAAAGTATTAAGGCATTGTACTTGTTAATTTAATTTACAAAAAGTCACAAATTACATAGTGTACATTATTTCAATTCTCATCAACATTTTCATTCGACATGTTTAAGAGCTGCGAGGTGAATCAAGGAATGGACTAGTAGATATCAAATGTAATGCATCTCAAATCTCAATGTTATTTAGATAATTATGATGGGTATATCACTATTTCTCTAGTAGTGAATCTAGTTTGGCCTCTATTATAAATTTGGACTAATGGGAAACTTTCATTATTTTTATCATCATGTGAACGTATTTCAATTTTTCACTACAACCCTAATATAGACACACTCTCCACAAATCAATAATTAAATTCAATAAAAAGTAATTAACTTCATTCTCATGCATAATATCTATCCATGTTTACACCAAGACGAAATAAAATAATAATTTATCTTTTGATCAGCATAATTAACGCGAGTATATTCTAGTCCGATCCATCTAATCTAAAAGTTTGTGCTTTTCCTTTCTCTCTAAAACTCTATCAATCGAGTTAAGAGTACAATTAGGTACTCAATTCTTTCTTTTTTCACCTTTTAGGTACTCAATTTTTTTTGCTTTGCTTTTGGGTACTCAAGTGATTTTCAGGTGAACTAACTCACCACTAACTCATCACTAACCATACCTAATTAAAAAAATTAATATTTAAAAAAAAATTCTTAACTTTGACTCATAAACTAACCGTTATTACTCTATTTAAAGGGGCATGAACTTGGCCAAAAAATGCCATGAAAACACCTGCAAAACACTAGCAGCACACCATGTTTTCTTAACAAAATTCATCCAAAACGATTTTGCCTTATTCAATTTCAATAAAAAAAAAACAAAAACAAAAACAGCAACGCAGAAGTTGTAGTAGTATACCAGCAACAAATATCATCAAAACAGGTTCATTAACCATGTCTATTTAGGCACAAATTCTTCAACAAGGTTTTCCCAGATTTTTTAGAAATTAAAAAAAAAAAAAAAGAAACAGAAGTTGCTGCTAGGTTCTTCCCCTGTTGCTGCTTCTTCAATTCTTCCCCTGCTGCTGCTTCTTCAGTATACCAGCCACAAAATCAGCATCCTGCGAATTGGAAAAAACAGAAACAGTAAGCTTCAAATCGTGGACTGCTTTAGAGCAAAAAAAAACATATCAACTAATCACACATACACATACACAATTTCACCAAAACCTCCCCTGTTTTAGTGCAAAAAACATATCAACTAATCAAACCCTTGCGCAATTTAAACAACATGCAATCAACATTCAACAACAACACTAGCTTAATCCAACAACAAACAACAACAAAGCAATAAATTTAACACAAAAAACACAAGAAATCGATATCATCAATTTGTTCAAAAAAACCCCCCAAAAATCGAAAACCCTAGGTCGCAAATAACATCAAGAAATGGGCAAAAAATTCAAAATTTATATCAAAATATCAACATAATCCATGAGTAATTGAGCTTACCTCAAAAAAATGGCGGCTTTTGGTGTCGTTTTCCCCAGAATCGAGCCCAAACTTGCTCGTGTTCTTCGACAATGACACAGCAGAATTTCCAGAAAAGGAAAGAATAAAGGGAGCAAAAAGGGGGAATAAAGAATAAGAAAGGGAAAAAAATTAAGGGTGACTCGCGAAATTTTTTAATCGATGGGGCCCACTTTCTCTTAACCAAGGTACTGAATTCTTTAACCAAAGGTACTGAATTCTTTGGTTGATTTATTTTTTTTGGCTGGTATTCTTAACTCAGTACCCAAAAGCAAAGTAAAAAAAATTAAGTACCTAACTGTGAAAAAAGGAAGAATTGAGTACTTGAATTTGTGCTTAACTCCTATCAATCTCTCAAATCACCACACACAATCATGCCAATTCAAAAAAAAAAAAAAAAAAAAAAAAACTTTCCATTTAATACACAAAAAAAAATGTAAAGAATAAATAAAATTAAGACTGCTATCTATTCACATGATTTTTAAAAAACTTTTCTAATCATATACTACTATTTTATTTATTTATTTTTACTTGCAACACTTTCATTTTAAATTTCCAATGCTTTTATATATATATAAAAAAAATCTAATTTTGTAAAAGTTAAGTACTTAGGCCCTATTCTTTCCACCTTATTTTCACTTATGTCAAACAAGCAATAACATTTATTTCCTTATATAATAATAATAATAATAATAATAATAATAATAATAATAATAATAATAATAATAATAATAATAAAAATAATAATAATAATAATAATAATAATAATAATAATAATAATAATAATAAGGTTAGAGATATACATACTTAGCCCTTAGGGCTAAAAAATAAACATTGAATATACTTTGTTGATAATTTTTAATGTACATACTATTCTCGTGATCAATTTATGAATTCATTGTAAAATATATTTTAAAAAAAACTTGGAGTATGGTATTATTATCATAATCATTAATTATGTTAAATAATTGTTCTAAAATTATTTTGATTTTGGCATTTTTAAATATAATAGTGCACACAAAAATAACTAAATGGACAAAACAATTTGACTTCACTATTCCAAAGGAAAAATGTAAAAAATTTATTTTTAGATGAAGGAATAATTTAATGAAATAGTAGCATTTAATAAATTATAATTAGGGACTTATTCTTCATCATTGTAATTGGTTTTCTTTTATGAAATTCATAAGGTACGGTATATGAATTGAAGTAATTCATAAAATGAATAAAATCTATACTAAACTGAAATTATTTTTTATGAAACATTATTGTTTTAAGATTAAAATAAAGGGTCTTAATGTTGAACTTTATAGGCATTATTCTTTTCACCTTATTTTTAACTTAAATTTCTATATTTTTTTTTCTAAAATTAAATTATTTTTGCTGAATTGAAACTATTATATTCGAAATTAATTTATTTAATTGAGTTCAGATTTAATTTGTGGAAAGCTAAACGTCGCCCTCGAATATCTAACTAACGCCCGCAAAATAAATTAAAATTACAATATTACCCTTTTTATAAAAAAAAAATAACACTCAAACAAAATTACCCCCCTCCCCCAACAAAACCCTCATTCCTTACCCACTCTCATTCTCTCTCTAAACAAACCACCACCACCACATCCACCTCCACCACCACAACATCCACCTCCGCCATCACTATCACCGCAGATAAAAGCGTCGGAGCAGTGGTTGAGCGCCGATCTACACAGTGATAATGCCGCGGAAGGACAAAGGCAAGTCAATCGCCGGCGGAGAAGAGGTTTGTTTTTTTTTTTTTTTTTTTTTTTTTTTTTCTGAAATCCAGGCAAAGGCCTGATTTTTTCGCACAACCATGGCTAAAACGCCTAGTTCGTGCGTGTAGCCGTGTGGTTGTACGAAAAATCTGGGCGGTTGAGGTGAAACGCCCAGTTTTTTCGTACAACCACACGGTTGTACACACGAACCAGGCGTTTCAGCCATGGTTGTTCGAAAAAACTGGGCGTTTGCCTGGTTTTTTATTTTTTATTTTTTAAATTTCTTTTTTTTTTTGGTATTGGGTTTTAATTGCTTGGCTTTCAATTTGTAAATTCGTTGTTGTTATTATTATTAAGAACTGTTTGGAAATTGGAAATTAATAATCAACTAAAGTTCAAGATTTTTGGGTTTTAATCAACTAAAGTGAAGGACTTCAATTGCTTGGTTTTTAGTTGTTGATTTTGGGATTTGTTAGTGTAGATTTAATTTTTGTAATGCTTTAATTGGGAATTTTGAGAATTTTCGTGATGTTTAGTTTGAAGTTTTGTTGATATTTTGGGTGGTTTGTGTTGATATATAGTTGATGAGGATTAAATATGATTTCGAATTCATCTATATGAAAATACTTGTTGATTATTAGAAATATTTAGTTGTTAATTATTAGAAATATTAGTTGGTTGATTTTGTTAGTATTAATGCCATTTTATTCTTAATTTAGAATGTAGTCGAGGGTTCTGGTCCACGGCATGCTAGATCACGCGGCATTAACGCGTCGATTAGGAGAGATAGGGGGCCGGGGATTAGTATACGGGAAGGTAGTTCTTTACGGGAGCGCGACAGAGAAGTGGGTAGTTCTGGGACTTATTTGGATGAGCGGGAGGGAGCCGGTCCTAATCCTTTAATTTGTTGAGGACTACTAGCTCGGTTTCGGGTTCAGGTTCGAGATACGATGATGATGGACCTGAGGACGATGATGCTGATGCTGATGCTAATGCTGAGGAGCAGTCGAATGTCGTGACGAGAGGTCATGATGGGAGATTTACGAGTTCACGACCACCTCGATCTGTAGCGCCTTGGCTTGTTCAGGGGCCGATGGACGGTGGACCCGATGTTGGGACCGTTATTCCTAGTTTTGGGGCCCATGTTGCTCGATATATTTGGGACGAGCATGATCGACGGTTTTTGCGGTGTCATACTAGAGCTAGTGTGTGTAGATTGTTGAGTGAATGGATGGAGGGATTTACGGCAGACACTGCTACGCAGATACGACAGACTGGGTTGTCGCACCTGTCGAGCATTATGCACGACCACCTTGATTTTCCGCTGATTTCTGCTTTTGTGGAGAGATGGCAACCAGATACAAACACCTTCCACCTACCTTTTGGTGAGATGACCATCATGTTGCACGACGTTTACCACATACTTGGTATTCAGGTTGAAGGTGATATGGTTGCCGAGGATCTATCTAGTGACCAGTATAGGACATTTGCAGCTGAGTTGTTATAGTTGACTACAGAGGAGCTACTGGTCAAGACTCAGACTGCCATATATAGGAATGGTGGCGTCCATACTGACCAGATTTTTGGTAGGTGTCATTGGTTACATATGGGTCCTTTTGGGTAACACGCTCTTTACTGACAAGAGCGGTTCTCGTACCCACCCTTATTTTCTCACTGAGTTGTTTGTGGAGCATAACCTGGAGAGGTTGACGAGATACTCCTGGGGTTCAGCCACACTAGCGTACGTGTATCGTTAGCTCGGGCATGCCACCCGAAATGGATGTGATTCTATCGGGGGTTGTCTAACTCTTCTCCAGTCTTGGATATATGAGTACTTTCCATGTTTTCGGCCTCACCAGGGTGTGTTGACGCGAGACGTTCCATATGCACGTGCAGGGTTATGGGATGTTGGTATGGCGCGGAAGCATCAACAGCGTCTCGTGTCCTTTCGTACTCGACTTGACCAGCTGGGTGACCATGAGGTATAAATAGATACGTAATACTATTTGTTTTACAATGCTTTAATTTACAGTTGATTTACTCTTGTATTAATTTGTAGGTATGCTGGTTGCCGTACGGAGCTTTTCCTGCATTACAGGTGCCTAGGACTGCGTTTACTGGATGTATTCGATATCGAGGCATCATAGAGCCATATATGCCCGGTCGAGTTGTTTTCGACAGTTGGGGTTTATACAGAAGGTTCCCGGTGACATGATTAGGCCTGATGATGCTCATAGTTCAGTTAGTGTTAAGTCTTATAGGGTCAGTTTTTCAGCTCAGATGACTACTCGCATGTGGAATGGTTTTGTTCCCGGTGCTGCGTTCAGTCTTCTGCTTGGTGGATATACTAGAGTTCCGCCTAGCGGACATACTTGTGCACCTGACTACCTATCATGGTTTGGAAGAGTTAGTCATCCTATCGTCACTCCTAATGTTGAGGATGATCACGGTCTTCGTGAGAGGACCAACGTTGATTACGTAAGTTTTTTATTACTTGTTTTTTTTTAATTTAATTTTTTTTCCTATTATTATTAATACAGTTATAATTGTTTATGCAGTGGGTAGGACGATTCATGGTTACAGCACAGCGATCACTTAGTGAGTACCCTACACTATCGAGAGACACCAGAGCAATGTTGGAGCAAGTGATTTCTGATTGGAATGCAATAAATGGACTTGCTTATTAGTTGTAATATTTATTTGTAGCTTGGACTTTATTTTTTTATTAGACTATGTTTTGGATGTTGTTAGTGGCCATTTAAGTTTTACACATTTGTTGGAAATAATCAAGTTGACATTTATGTTTGAGTTTTTTTTTTATTTTTTTTTATTTTCTAATAGACTGTGTACTTGCTTCACAAAAGAAATGCTTAAAATAAATTTAAAAAATAACCATGTTTATTAATAAAGTTAAAATAAAGTTGAATCAAAATCCACAACAATACTCAACGGTACTCAAGAGTTGATTAATGTCTGCCACAATTGAAGCCTTTTATCGTACCTTCTCTCCCACCTATTTACACTTGCCTGTCGAGCGTTAAACCACATTGGTGAAATTGGAGGTAGTGGGTGGTCATGTTCCATATGCAACCTAATGAAATGCGATCCACCAAAAGTTCCAATCACAAACTCCCCAGAAGGCCTATCTAAAGGTCCACGATTGTTCAACGGCAAAACAGTAGTAGATGGATAGTAGCTCGACGATCTATTTCCTACTCCATAACAAATCACCACCACATTCCATAATGTGGCAATAGCAAAAAAATCCTGTTGTGCTACCATCCAGTGCTCCTCTCCACACGCATCACCATCCCATCTAATCCGGTCTATCTCCCTTTGCAGTCCTGAACCAACCCCTTGGCCCCATATGTCGTAGGAAATCATGCTGTACAGCCAAGGGTGAGAACCAACCTCATTTTCCATTTGATGCCGAACCAATCGCCACTCCTCCTGAGTTCCGTACAATAAATCTGCTACGCAACGAAATCCGCAGTTCCCATCACCAATTACATCCTTAACACCTACGACGTAAGGCCAAATGATGTTGGGAATAGCGTAGCTGTATCTGCATTGGCGCATGTCGAACCCATTACCTACAAAATTAAAAACATAATATGACATATAGTTAAATTAAAATTTAGGATGAATAAACATATTATTTAAATCGATGATCACCTGTATTAGATGGGGGTGGTCTACTTCTAGATCGATTCTCTCGCCCACTATGTTCAACATGCTCAAAAAATGAAGGATCCCGCCTATTACGATTCTCGGGTGGTCGTCCCCTTAAGGTCATCGTAGTTAGGATCCATCTCACCCTCAATAACTCGTGACACGTGCCTAAGCATCACCGGATCAAGGGTGCGGAAATGAGCTCGATCCTCATCATTTTCATCAACTATATTAGGAATGTCGACACCATCTCCAATGACAAGGGTCCTCCAAAATGGATGAATATTCTTAGAATACAACCCTTTCCCTGCAGCAATCGAGTCATATATTTGGCACGCACAAGGTAAGCCGTGGGTAGTACGTAGAGCACACCCACAACGTCGATGAATATCCGTACTCAACCCTCGCATTCTGTTTGTCTCACCGAGAAGAATAGACAGACAATAGTGGGATACCTTTCCGTCAGCTGATGTAAAGGCTTATGCTTGGACTTCTAACCATGACTTGTTCAACATGCCTCCAATCCATTACGAATGGCTATGATCTTGTTCTCAATCGAGCAGTGCACTTGAGCCCAAACCGTGTCCAAAGAGCTTGTTGAACTGTCAATCCAACACTTCAATGCTGAATGCCGGCTCTCAACCCTGCAGTTGTTAACATTGCCAAAGTGTAGTACCTGGTTTGTCCAAAACAATACAAACTTCTCCTTGTGTACGAGCCAAGTGTCCATAACATATTCAATCACTTTCGGCCATCGACTCCACTTGGTTTTCAGCACTGCAAGTTCTCTGTTATATGCCTCTTCAGATGTAGCATTAATCACAAGCCTCCACCTCCCATTTTTGAACTTGGCACCAATCTCCTTTTTTTTCAAACATGGAAGTAACCTCGCCTCAACATCTTTGTTAATATGCCACACACACAACATGTGTCTTGTGTTTGGAAACACGCTCTTTAACGCTGCACAAAGGCCAAGCTCCCTACCTGTCAGTAGTACCGATGGCTCTCTATGATGACCGATCAACAACCTCAAGCACTCAAGCACCCACCGATAACTTTCCTGAGACTCTGACCTCATGAATGCGTATGCAACAAGAAAGTTTTGATTAGTTGGTGTAACCCCAACAATCTCAAAGAATGGCATGCCGTATCGATTCGTCTTGTAAGTGGAATCCATACCCATCATGTACGGGTATGTGCGAAGCAAATTTGTCATGATCGGGTGTGCCATGAAAGCATGTTGCAACACATTGTTGGAATCAGTAAAAACCCAAGTGAGGTATTTGCTCTGTCTGGCCAAATGAAGCACCTGGTGAACTACTTCTCTTCCTTCAAATTGCTCCATTCTTATTTTACTTCTGCAGTTGTAGACATGCCTGATGTTAGGATGGTCTCCGGGAAACTTTTCTACAAGAGTTCTCATGATATGTAGAGGTGGCACCTGTGCCTGAGTCATGTCACGCACTACCTGCTTAGCAGCAATACTAAGACCACTAATTTGTCGATTTCCCTCGGGATAAACAACCAAAGAATGATTGTGAGTTCCGTTCAAGCAACTAAGCTTCCAACCATTTACTACTCTGACATACTCAACCTTGAGTTTGAAGGGACAATTGTTTGTCTTGCTTTTGGTGTCTTTGCGTATCGCGTTCATCATGTCTCTTATCATGCCCTTTTTTCCACGATCACAACTCACATATCGATACGGTCGACCACTCCGATCGGTCTTGTAAGAAGCCTTCACTAACATAAATCCGAGCGGTCGACAAACATTTTGTGCCCATAGAACAACATCCTCAAAACTCGGAAACACTTCGTTTGTCAAAAAATGTCCATTATAGTCCACACCATCACCATCCTCGGACTCGGAATCCTATATAAATATTAATAAAAGTTAGAACCAAAGAACACGACTAATAATAATAACAACAATAACAATACAACTAATTATAAAAAAAACTTTCAACCATAATAATGACAATAACAATAATAATAACAATAACAAAAATAATATTAATAATAATAACTAATTTTAATAACAATAATAATTTCGAAAGTATAAAATCCAATGACAATCAACCAATACGTGAAATAAAAAATAAACAAAAAAAAAAGAAAAATTGAAACCCAGGAAACGCTTAGGATTTTCGAATGAACTAGGCTGAAACGCCTAGTTTTTTCGAAACATCCTAGGATATTCGAAAAAAACTAGGCGTTTCAGCCTAGGTCATTCGAAAATCCTAGGCGTTTCCTGGGTTTCGATTTTTTAAAAAAAATTAACGCAACGTACCGATTCTGATCGGTTCGACGAGCCTTCGGCAAGCGTCAAAGGTTGTGTTTTTGGTATTTCGTTGTTGTCCATAAGATCTAATGAAATTGATTTTGCAAAATTTATAAAATTTGTTTGATTTCACGGTGGTTGGGGTGGTTGTCCGATGAAGGTCGGTGGCCGTTCACCACTAGAGAGAGCGGTAAAAAATTTTGTGTCCAGTAAAAGTATGAAATTAAGGTAAAATTAATTATTTTTATAATCGTTATAATAAGGTTAAATACGTAATTTAATTTCATTTTGCGGGCGTTAGTTAGAAAATCAAGGGCGATATTTAAAAACCCCCCTTTAATTTATATTTACAAATTCTTTATTGTATTTATTTTTTAAAGCTATTGATTTTAAATAATTCTATTTTATTTATTTAACTTATTTTTGCGACACTATTTTAGCTAAACAAGACTTTAGTTTAAGTGACTTTAACTTTTTTTTTTTTTGCTGAACTTAATTTATTTTAATTTTGCTGAAATTAATTTATCTTTTTGTTTTGTTTTACTTAATGTCATTATTTTAAGTTGGAGAGAACTGAGACTTAATCAAAGTCTATTCATCTAGCATTTTTAAGTCCGAGTCCTTGTAACACAAGTCCAATCAATCTCTGTAGTCTGAGATAAAAATATATGCATCTCATTATCACTCAAAGTGCCTTCAATTCACAACATCGCATAAAAAAAAGTGCCTTCACCAGAATATAGTTTCATCTTTCATGCCAAAAAAAAAGGGGGGGTTATCAAGATAAGCTTGCATAGCAGCGTAAGAATCTGGAGTGAGATGTTCATAGCTCGCACTCCGTACGTTCAATCTAGTTAATCCGTCATAATTAATCGTCAAAGTACATAATTCTAACTAATATCCCTTGTGTTAAAAAAAAAAAAAAAAAAAAGTCCCAAATATAGCAACATCTTATGTACTACGTATAAACATCTACCAAAAAAGCTTGGCAAGCACAATCTCTAATTAATTGACCTTTTCCCAATTTACTGCAAGCACTTAGTGAATTACAATAAGGATAATGTTATATGTAGCTCTTAGGGTTAAGAATAAGTATTTAATAATTTCTTTACTTAGTAATATTAATTTAGGAATGCATGACAAATTCACGTACAAATCAGTGTAATAAATGTATATTCTCATTTGTTTTTTCTAGCTTTGGCTCATATATGTAGCCCTAAGGGCTGTGAACGAATAACATTTTTCATATAATATCAACCTATCTAGCTCGATCTCCTAATATGCATGCCAAAACCTAGATAAAGATCGGGTAATTAATTTGCTGAAGGAGTTTTAGACAAACACAAGACAAGAGACGATATACCTTCCTTACTTAGGGCTGTACCATACTTTCGGTATGGCAACATTTTCCATATATACAACGTACTGAAAGAGGATATACAATTTCGTCACATGACTTAATTGGTCATTGGGTACATACCCTGCTGCACCACTCATGGATATACAACAATTGCATAAGATTCTGATAACGTACTAATCAAGCGTGTTAGTAAGAAATAGATCATCCGCATCCAGAGGCTCAACAAAATAATGTAGCTAGACAATTAAGCATTGTATGTCTTCGAAATTGAGCCTCAGGATGCAGATTATCCATTTCCAACCACACTAAATACTCTTCAATGAAGCTAAGCTCACGAAGAAAATGCTAAAAACGTACATATAAAATTGCATAAGCAAATTCAAAACCATACATATGTAATTTTTGTTGTGTTGCTCGACAACAATGAAAATAAGAGGCAATATATATATATACTAGTGTAAAATGTACGAAGATGCAAGTAAATAAAAGGTGGTTTGACTGCTTTATTAGCATGGTACAATGGCATCATAATGCTAACACGAAGAACAGGTACTAATTCTAGTGAGTTATCTTGATGGTCCATATTTTGTTCTCCCAAAGCCAATAATAAGGTAATGCCGGTTGTAACTTTAGTGTACGTGTGGTTGACTAGTTGTGTTGATGCTGATTACTCTATCTTAGGAGACCAGGATATTCTTCAGCATTTCTTTTATGATACCTAATTCCTCATTCCTTAAGTTATATTTGTCGTTGCGTATGTTAGTATGTACATACACGATACACCACTTCTAGGCTCCGTTGAAAAATAACAGTCATATACTCTGTCGATCTCCAATTAGCTTTATTTTAAAAGATTATATACTTTGTATATATTGTTTTCAATATACAATAAAGAGACTGAGTAGTTCTCGGTTCTTAAGTTGTGTCACACCACAATATATATTCTTATTTTTGTTTTATATTCAGATTAATTATGTTGGGTTGGATTTGATTTTATTCAAAACATATCATGCATGTTATTCTATCTCAAACAAAACCATGTATTGTTTGCAACATTTTGTCTAAAATTCACCTTTTCTGTTCGTGCATGCCATATATAAGTATCAAATATATTGGCAAATATCAACATGAACGGGTATCAAATCTATGAATGCAAAATCGTTATACTTCATATAATCTTAAAGCAATGATGTACGGACTATGAGCTTCTGTTATTTTTCTTAATTTTGTGATAACTATATGCTTTGGACAAACCTACTTAATTAGTAAGTACACTTAGTGAGCAATCAAGCAGTTGCAAGTTCGTCAAATCTTTCGCAATCAAATCACTTTCAGAAAAAGCATTAGTAGTTATGATTTGGAAAGATTCATAAGTTTACACTAATTGTCTGATTGCTTAATAAAATTAATTAAAAGAATTATATTAAGGTGATAAACTGATAACTCAGTAAACCAAGAAAAAAAAAAGTAAAACAGTGTGAGTAAATGTTGCTAGCCATCTGTTCTCTGGTAATTTAGCATTACTTGTTGAGTTGTTGTACAATTTACATGGTGGATTATATGCACCTTATTGTTCATTTATCAATTCTAATTTAATACTTCTTCCCTTTCTTTTTAGTTGCTACTTTTCTATTTTGGAAATTCTTAATTAGTTGCAACACTTTCCATTTTTGATATTCTTTTCTCTCTATCTCTGTCCTACCTACATGGATCCATCTTATTTTCTCTCTATCTCTCTCCTACCCACATGGATCTATCTTATTTTTCTCTCTATCTCTCTCCTCTTAAAAAACTGTCTAGAAGACCGTGAAAATAAAAGTATAATGACTTAAAAAAAACGGAGGAAGTATAAATACTTTTTAATCTCACTTTTTATTCTAAGGTATATTGCGTCTATTATTTGATTGACTAGTTTTACGCATGATAGAATATATAATATCCACCTATCTAAAAATTAAAATTATGCTATGACATAATTTTTGAAACCGTACCACAAATTAAAGGTCGTAAGCACGTGATTTTTTTAGTTAAGAATAAAGTTTATAGCTAAGTGTAAGAAGAGTATGTCAAAATAATATGTATTCTTAGGAAGATAAATTACATATGCGCTGAAATTAACACAATAATAAGGAAAAATGGAATCTAAAAATCCAACCTTTGGCCTGTCTGACAATAAAAATCCAACCTTCCATTAATTTCACAAAAATCCAACCTTTGCCTCCACCTTCTTTGACAGGTCCATTTGACCTTGAACCTGTTAAACAGGTTATTTTTTTTTTCCTTTTTTTTCTTTCTCCTTCCTCCTTCCTCCTTCCTTTCTCTTTCCTTCCCCTCCATGTTTTCCGGTCACCAACCCAAAACCACCCAACCACGACCACCCAACCCCCTCCCCTTCAAAAACCGACCACCCAACCCCCTCCCCTTCAAAAATCGACCACCTAACCCCTCCCCTTCAAAAACCGACCACCTAACCCCTCCCCTTCAAAAACCGACCACCCTAACCCCTCCCCCTTCAAAAACCGACCACCCTAACCCCTTCCCCTTCAAAAATCCGACCACCCAACCCCCTCCGTCCCCTTCAAAAACCGACCATCTAACCCCCTCCCCTTCAAAAACCGACCACCCTATTTTTTTTTCCTTTTTTTTCTTTCTCCTTCCTCCTTCCTTTCTCTTTCCTTCCCCTCCATGCTTTCCGGTCACCGACCCAAAACCACCCAACCACGACCACCCAACCCCCTCCCCTTCAAAAACCGACCACCTAACCCCCTCCCCTTCAAAATCCGACCACCCTAACCCCCTCCCCTTCAAAATCCAACCACCCTAAGGGGTAGTGGTGGCAGGGTATGGTGGGGATGGTTTTTTTTTTCTTTTAATTTTTTTTAAAAATTAAAAAAATAATTGACCAATTAATAGCTGACACGTGACATGTAACTTACAAAATCCGGTTATCAACAGGTAATGGATCTATCAAAGAAGGTGGGGGGAAAAGGTTGGATTTTTGTGAGATTAATGGAATGTTGGATTTTTAATGTCAGACCGGCCAAAAATTGGATTTTTAAATTCCATTTTTCCCAATAATAAAGCTATAGAGTGAGGAAGAATGATTAAAATACAAGATTGGTGCTATGGTGGTTTGGACTACACCTATTTATTTGTTAAAAATGAAATTATGTTGGACTATGTTATACTTTCCTTTGGTGTGGACTTGTACTGGCCAAGTGATGGTTTATTTATTTTTTATTTTATTATTATTTATTTATTTATTTTTAAATTAAGCACTCACTTGTCCAAGATTTCCCAAGTTACCACCCTATATATAGGGAATAAAAATGAAATTAAAGCAAAAAGAACTTGTTTAATATCTTTAATATCAGCTTTATATAATTTGTTTTCATAATTAATAACTAGGGTTTCGTTTGGCATCACTATGGTTTTCTGTTTTTTGGTTTTTTGTTTTTTAAAACCATATGATATATGTCACATAACGAGTCAAAAATTATTAAAACTTATTAAAATCATGATAATTTTAAAAACTTACAACAAAAAAGTGAAAACACCTTTTTCTTATTTCTTTTTTTTGGTTTTTAGTTTTCAAAAAAACAGAAAAACTGAAAACAAAAAACGATGCCAAACAAGCCCTAGTTTACTTAGTTACATTAATAATCAAAGTTTTGTGTTGATGACATTACCAAAAAAGGGGGGGGGGGTGTTAAGGTAACAT